AGGTGGGATCTACGGGAACTGCTTTCGGCATCATCGGAACGACGTCGAAGGAGTGCCATGTTTGAGAAAGCGATTTGTATGCTTGCCTCAACTTTTGTCGTTGCATTCATTTTTTTTAAATTTACAAATGGCAATATCATTTTCTATAACCCGACACGCGTATAGTTAGAGCGCATATCGTATCATTTTCATGACTCTGTTCGTTTTTTTATTTATTTTAGTTCACTTAAAACATCTTCCCTGTAGGCTCGTAGCTGGGAAACAATTTCCTCCATATTCGACAACGATTATGCCTCCTGCTTATAAATGGGGCCAGTGTTACGTTCGACGTCACCACTGAGAAGCAACACTATGAGTCAAACGCTATTAGCTCTAACCGAATAGGAAAGCTCTTTTTTACTCACCTGCACAGTGAACTGTATGGTATGTAAGCCGTCGTTGCTGAAATTATGTGAGGCCGTGCCTACTGGTAGAAACTTCCCGCGCAGCTGCTTTTGTAGTCCGAATGATGGATGGGTGGATTAGAGTGTCCTGACCACCGACGCCTTGTGATTAGCTGGGTGGCTGGATTCAAACTGCCAATCAGACGGCGTCGGTGGTCAGGACACTCTTAACCAGAGCAAAGACCATCTTCTCGTCGGAAGAGGACAGAAGAAAGGAAGAATAAACCGTCATTGTTGACCTTAAAAACAAAAAGAATGGCTACACGAGCCGTTTTATCAGTCGTGTTGTCCGCCGTGTAGGCCGAAACGTAACGACACGTGCAGCAACAGTCAAGTGTGTGTGTGTGTGTGTGGGGGGGGGGGGGGGGGGGGAGAGGCTCCGTCAGGCACCATGCCTTTATCTCTGCCCCTCTACGCGGAAAAGATCCGCAAACAAATAAAGGAAAAAAACAAAGTCCCGCCCAAACTCGCACATCAACGTTTCGTACATAACCGGAACATATACGGAGGCACTGGCCCGTGTCCTGGCTAAAAATTAAGGGTGTTCAAATAGCGCACAACCCTGTGTCTACACTTGGACGACTCATGCCACTCCCAAAATATCGCCCTGCTAAAGACAAAACCCAAGGTGTTATCTATCAGATTTCTTGCGGGGTTTGCGCGGCCACATACATCGGCGAAACAAAGAGCTTTACAGACAGAATCCGTCAACATAAAGACGACGTACGCAAGTTTGATCATGAGCATAGCGCGGTCACTGTGCACTGCGACGTCAAGGACCGTCGTATTGAATTTGACAACGGATGCATCACTGACGTTGAGACAACCCCCCGAAAGAGACTGTTTCTCGAATCCTGGCATATTCAAACAACGCCACAGAACATCAATCAATGTCTCGGAGCTTGACCGTCCGCAGATGTAAACGGGGGGAACGCGACAGAACAGCACACGACAAAACAGCACGCGACAAAACAGCACGGTCAAAACAGCACGCGTCGAGACAGCACAGTGTCAAAACAGCACGGTGACAAAACAGCACGCGTCAAAATAGCACGCGACAAAACAGGACGGCGTCGAAACGGCGCAGCGACAGAAGAGCACGTGCAAAAACAGCAAGGTGTCAAAACAGCACAGCGACAAAAGAGCACACATGTAAAAAGGCTGTAATAGGTTGCGTTTTATGAAAACAAAGCAGAACGTAAAGAAAAATGGTTGGACATTGCATGGCATTATTTAACAGCTAGTGGAGAACCAATAAAAAAAAGTACGCTGGCGGCGACGGGACCGCACTGAGTGTCCCAAGTGCTGCTGCTGTTGTGCGATTTCTAAAAACAAATAAAGTTAGCAGTAATTACTACTATTTAACTACGCTAATCTCTGAAGAGGTTGGGTAGTTAGGGGCGATACCTTTGCGTCGATGTTGGCTGCGTTGTCTGGTCTTTTTTGAAGTATCAGGGAAAGAGGAAAAGTTATTGGGAAGAAGATATCCATAGATTAAAGTTATGAACCGCCTAGTTTGTGTCGGTCCGGTGAGGTTCCGCAGTACTCGCCGGTTTGTAATTACCACCTAAGCGTAAAACAAAACCGCCCCCCCAAAAAAAAAAAAAAAAAAAAAAAAAAAAGCGGGAGATGCGGCGAGTACAGATGCATGGATAGAAGTGGTAAGATAAGATGACTTTAATGTAGAGCGTATTCAAGCCATGGGCACCGATTCTGCGGGGTTCATTCGCCGTGAATAAAATCTCATGGAAACACGCAGTTGGAGCTTGCAGGCGAGAAGTTGTACGTTTTGAGTTAACTTCACAGATTATTGCCGACGAAGGCCTTGATCGAGTGCAAACCGGTGAAGCAGTAACATGCCGCAGCCTCAATGCTGTGGCCTTACACTGCAGCAAGGGTTGAACACAACGTTGCCGCACACACTTTATTTTTTTTTCTTTTAACAACTAACGACAGTACATTGCCGTGCGATTGAATCATTTATTGTCAACGATATCACCAGCAAACTTGCGCGTCAAAATGAGCAAAACTGTTCGAAAAATTGAGGTGGCCTAGCTCGGCTACACCACAATATACGCAGCGTGAGCTTATGCTCACAAAATGAGAGGCGCTATCAAGCGGCTCCGGTGCAGCGTCAGACTTGCCTACTGCTCAAATAAAGGCGCACAGCTGGGCACACGGTGACGCCAGTGCGTCTGCCGCGGCTGTGACGTCACTGCTGGTCGCGCATGCGCAGCACGGAGCACGGCTCATTAGGCGAGCCACGCGAAACTGCTCAACCTCGGCCAGTGTAGGTCGCGCTACAAAATAGCCAGAATACGGACCAGCGGGGGCTTTTGTACTGCCCAGGGAACCGTCATGCGCCCATTGAGTATACTCCCCAGTCCGAACTTGATTCCAAAAGAATAGATTCGAAAAATTGGCCGTCGACGAGTTGGCTTTTGACGAATTGGCCTAGAACCTCAGTTCTTTTACAGTGCCTTATTTGAGACGTGCATTTTTAACTTCAAATGCCATATTTAGGGTTCAGCGTTTTCGGGTTAGCCCGAATATAACCAGTAAAAGTACGCCGAATTCATTTTTTCAAAATTGGTCTTAACTGAAAAAGTTCAGTATTTTTGTGGGCGTTTGGGGTGGTGTGTGTGTGTGTGGAGAGGAGGGGGGAGAATGTGACTCTAACTAGGGTTTCGTGTTTTCGGATAGATTCGAAAAACACCCGCCGGTAAAAGTTTCGTCTATTCGGATTTATCTGATAAACTCTGAATTTCAATGTGCCAATCCCCCCCCCCCCCCACACACACACACACGCACACAAATATATTTTACTACTACTAATTGTTTAATCAGCGCGTAGAGTCAATGGTCTTGGGAAAATGCCACCACACATATCTTTCAAATTTCGGCCAGGACAGCAGGTCATTGTACTATCGGGTCAATACAAAAGTCACTGTTTATGTTTCTGGTTTGGGTCATACTATTTGTTCCTGAGAGGAAGGAGAGGTTGTGTTTTTGTAACCTTGAAAGCTATGGACCATAGAAATTACATAAAGTGGAGAAGAGGACAGTTGAAACTTCTCTATTCCATCCTTTTCCACTATACCTCTTGCGGCCGCGCGGTAGGTTGACGGAATAGCATGGAATGAATACAGGCTTCAAAGCGATTACCTCCAGTCGGTTATTGATTTTAAGGTATCAACATTTATCGAAATAACACTTGTGTGCCACTCTTGTTTTAGGAAAAATTAGTATTGCCAGAAGTAATGGCACCAACGCCAAATCCAACTGAAGAAAATATTAATTGTTACAATCGCGTTCTTTTTTCTTTTTTGTCCAGCATATGTTTACATTTGGATATCATTTGTTTATTTTTAATAAGAAACACTGCGAAATTGAGTTCGGAATTTCGGAGAATTCGGAATCAAACAAAAATAAATTACGATAGACTCCGAATTTTCGGCAAAAAATGAACTCAGAAAGACACCCTCTGAACTTGACGAAAACTAAACTCCCAAAACACGGAACCCTACTCATTACTTACCATATCACTACTTTCTTTCGCAGTTTTCAGCTGGTATGCGAGATCGATTCAACTTTCAACAAAAGCTCCGGGGGCACAGGGGTCTTCAGGACGAAATCTGGGTTTTTTAACTGATAGGGATTTGTGCCGAATCCTTTATTAAAAGAAGAGAGTTTAATCGTGAAATCAAACAACGGAAATCAACAGCGTCCGTAAATGGCGCGCATTGTTTAACACCCCTAGCTTCCGTCTACTAGAGGAGGGCATAAATACGAGTGTTTTATTTTCATTTCTGCCGTCGGCGCGAATTTATCACCTCTCGCAATCGTGAAAATGGGGGAAACCGCATCGAGTTCAATGCTCGCTAATTTCTCCATTTTGATATCTGCCTCTCCGACCAAAGTGGTACTGAAGCTCATGCTCGTCCTGTGTACAAATACGAGCACAGGACGATAATGCCAGGTCACGATAAGGCCCCAGTGCGTCTTACAGAACAGGTCGCGTCGGCTGCCAAAGAGGGCAACAAATAAGTAGACAAGTACCTGGTACTCAATATACATTTTACACAAACGCTTTTAATTATTGCATTTTCGTTAGTATACTGGTTTTCGTGAATAAACCTGATATAACTGAGCAGTTTATGAGTCTACAAATATTCACCGCAATAAATCCAAAAAACTTTGTTTGGAATAAAAACCGCAAAATAGTGCGCGGAATTTCTAATAATACAAACCGAAAACGCCGAACTCTAGCTATATTGTCAATGTCATGTTTTGACGCTGCGCTGCTTTGTTGCTGTGCTGTTTTGACGATCTGCTGTTTTGTCGCGTGCTATTTTGACGCGTGCTGTTTTGACGCCGTGCTGTTTTGGCACGTGCCCTCCTGTCGCTGTGCCGTTTTGACGCTGTGCTATTTTGTCGCGTGCTATTTTGACGCGTGCTGTTTTGTCGCCGTGCTGTTTTCACGCTGCGCTGTTTTGACACGTGCTGTTTTGACCGTGCTGTTTTGTCGCGTGCTGTTATGTAGTGTGCTGTTCTGTCATGGTGCCGTACTTGGGCTTTGTCAATTTATTGAAAAGGTACAGCCGTAGAAGAAGAAAACCAGATACCCACCGTAGAAGAAAAATAAAATGACACTGCTCCTCAACGGCCATAGCCGTAGTCGCCCCTGAAAAAGAGGTTGAATTGGCTTCGAAAGGTAGGGTTTCTTGTAGAAAAGCTTGGTTGGTGTTTGAAAACTTAATAATTATTTACTCCTAACCAGACAGCTCTCTGTCAAATGTTTACGTTTAAATATAAAATACATATTTATTTCGCATATTATAAAATGCAAAATGGGCATTTTTGACTGCATTTTTATATATGTTCGTGTGCATATGTACATGTTCCTCTTGCCAGTGCCACTCGTCAAGCTGCGGTCTCGCAGCTTTTTCTCCAGCGCCCTTGTCACATAGATATTGCTTGGGCCAAAACTAAACTCATTCGAATTCATTTGATTTTGACATATGCAACTTTTCATAAATTTATAAAGCTACGCGAGTTGCTGAGGAAGTATTGCTGGGGGAAGTTTCTGAAAGGTCGGAGTTTAGGCCTGAGAAAACGTAGTCAGACAATTGGTTACTCGCCGCGCCATTGGGTTCTCACACCAATATCTCCACTGGGACCGCATTGATTCCGGGAGTGGCCTATCCTGGTACTCCTTGCACCGAAAAACTGGTCTTCATTCTTTGAGTTTAACCTTAATAGTCTCTACCACTACTGGTGTACCGCAATTGAATTAAAATCTGTTCAAGCCTGTAAGCGCGGTATGCAGAGAAAAACAGTTAGAGTGGTTTTTTTTTTTTTTTTTTAAGATGAAGTTTGTTTTTTAGACGGTGGTTTAAAAATCGCAAAGGACAAAGAAGAGAAGTAGGTCATAGGACAGAGCGCTTACTTACAGCTGTCGAATTTAATAGAGCATCTAGAGAGCGACAAAGTGGAAGTAAAAAAGGAGAAAAGAAAGATAAAATAAACTCACTGCTGCTACAAAGACAAGATATTTTGTTTAAAAAATTGAAATAAACATTATTTTAACTTCAACTAAAGGCAAAATACTTGTCACGTAAAACAATTGTCTATATAACAAAAAGAAAAGAAGAAAAAGAAGAAAAAAAAAAGGAAAAAAAAAAAAAAGAGCAAACGTCTAAAACGTCTTCAGAAGAAACACCGCAGGAACTGAAGTTCTTTTTGTGTTAAGTTCACTGATGGCGTGCTCATACACTTATCAGCACTGGTGAGGATGAGTAGAGCTTCGTACAGTTCTCTCATGTTGTTTTTTTTGTTTTTTTTACGGAAGTGCTTCAGACCTTCGGTGTGATTGAATGATGGTGAGCATTTGCAGTCGCTGACATGCACCGCAAGATGTCCCGATGGTGTTGACTTCAATCTTTGAGCTTGTTCTCTTAATCTAGTATTAATACATTGCCCCGACTGACCTACATATACTTTGCCGCAACTAAATGGTATTTGATATTCCACTCCACTTTCAACTCTACATATTTGGGTCGATGTTTTACACTGTACTATACCTGTTGATGTTGTTGGCAATTGATCTTAGGGCAGAGCCTTTTTAGTTTGTCCGCCGACAAGTTAGTTTGTCGGCGGACAAATAACTTGTCCGCCGACAAACTAGTTTGTTATTTGAAAATTTGAGGCAGTGCTTCCACCACCTCGGGCACCCATGTGTGACCTGTAGCTTGGCACATTACCAAGCCGATTTATAAGGTCACTTTAAAAGCTTCCGCCGATTTCGTGTTCCCGCGGTGCATTACCAGGTCTACAGCGCATTGTAAGTTAAGACGCAAACTGCTCCCTTGTTCCACAGTGGCTTCCCGCCTCCCAAGGAAGCTCCGAACTACATGCATCACACCAAAATTTTGGCGTGCCTCGGGAGCTACACCGACCATTTCGGGATACCGGGTAAAGTACGCCTGCGTCACGAAGACCTCCGTGTGACACAGGCCAAGGACTATGACTCCACCAGCCGCTGGGATGATGTCAAGGATCTAGCCAACGGCATCGAGCGCAGAGAGACTTTCGACGCAGTGCTGGTGGCCTCAGGGCGACACGGGTTCCCGAACCTTCCCACGTTCAAGGGCCAGGAGAAATTCAAGGGCAGGATCGTTCATACGCACAGCCTCAAGATCCCGGACCAGTTCAAAGACAAGATAGTTGCTGTCGTGGGCAACGGCAACTCCGCGGTCGACGCTGCCGTTGACGCATGCCATGTGACTGCCGAGGTGAGTCTGATCTGCCAGAGGCCGTACATATTACAGATCGCACACACGTCAACGGAGTCAGGTGTACGCGTAGTACCCTACCACACAGAAGGATGAGCGCCGCCTTAAGCATATCCGCGTTAATGGAATATGATTTGTGCAAGCAGGCAGACTGAGCTGCTTGCGTCTGCACTGAGTTGCTCATGGGAAAATCCGATGCGTCTCTTTTCCAAACCAACTTTATCTCTTTCTACTTTTTTCTGTTTGATGCTAAATTGCAATGAGCAGCGTACAGTCCTATTCATTCTGCAAACTGGCTACTTTGACACAAATTATGCGATCGCAACATTCCATGTAGCAGACTCCGGCAGTACTCGGGCGCGACGGCGTGTCCTTTGAAAGTCCGTCTTTCACGCCCGAGTTCTCACACTCAAGGCCTTCTGCTGAACTAACTACAATAACCGGTCTGCTTGTCTATAGCGTAGGCATTTTTGAGAGGGGCAGTGAAGAAATATATAAGCACGCTTTGAAGAGAAATGAGCTGTAAAATGTTTCGCGGGATTTTCATAACATTCCCTAGCGGAAAGTATCTAGTGGTCATAAGAAATTTTAAAGTTGCCAAATATTAGCTTACCTAACGTTAAATTGTTTTGACGTATCTATGAGAAAGGCAAATACCATCTATATTAACCATTGTGTCTTCTTGAGTTTCTCTAAAAAAACAAATATCTGTGTATAGTAACTTTCAAATTGATAGCAAAAGGCAGGTCGTGCTTTTGCTCTGCCTGCTCAAGAGTGAATTTTCCGGCTTCAAGATATGTTGGTCGTGGAAGTACGGTCAATGCCATATGGAATTCAGATGGCTCACGTGAAGGCAGGGCAGTTGAATACTTTTGCCTGCCGTTTAAGTTGGTCACTGACGATAATGATTCAGCTTGTTCGGAAAAAAACATCCGCACGCGCGAGACTAGTCTGAAACCCCACTCACGATAGTGACGAGAAAAGAGACTACAGTGACAATAAACTCTTGAATGGTGGTCTATCAAACCTACAACAAGCGGAACTACAGGAAGAGAAAGATGTAGACAAATGAAGTAAATATAATTTTTGCTCGCACTCGCCGCACTGTCCCCACCTTTCCGTGTTTTCACGTACCGCGTGCGGCCAACAGCCTGGTGCGTCTTCCATTGTAGATTGGCAATGTCTCGACGTAATTGGAATCAGCGGCCGTTTATGCCCCTCGGGGCAATTAGGAAACGAAAAGTTGAGTTTGCCATGATGTTGAATAACCCGAAACGGGATAAAGAAATATGCAGGCTTCGAGGCGCCTGGGCGCGCGGTCTTCGAATGCCAAACGGAAGGGCCTCTCTCTGCGTGGAGCAAACGCCGTCCCCCGCTGGCTCGGTCGATAAAGCACTTAGCTCACAATCTCAAGGTGGTAAGTTGAAATTTTGCCAGGGGACATATTTTGATATGGTTCCCTATATGCGTAATGCTTTTTGTGTCGGTTTCTCGTTGCAGCCAGACGTTACATCGAACAGTTAACAAATCTCCATGAAATGCGCCTGATAAAACTCATTTTCCATCGAAAGAAGGAAACACGGTGTTTTTCTTTTTGTATGTGCTAACAATTACGAGAAGAACTTTTTTGCCCGAGTTAAAGAACCTTCACCGAAACTGTGAGATTGCGCCGACTTGCCGCGGCCGCTTAGCATTCCAAAGGGATGGTGCGATACCGGTTCCGCTGCGCTGTTGCTGTGTGTGTGTAGTGCAGCTGGTAGAGTGCAGTGTTGCCCGTTCCGTCTTGTCAGTCTATTAGCGCTTGGACGGTGAGGTTGGTGGAGAGAAATAAACGCTCCTTGAGCATCTTACAGCATCAGATGTACTGAGCGTGTACTGGGCCAGCGTCCTGTTCCCTAAAAAAAAACGGAGCATGCGCACGTTTATCGCACGTGACTTGCGCGCCGGGAAAGGGCGAGTACAACAGTGATACCCTCGCCCTATCGCTAATAATAGTCGCGGTAAAGGTGGATTCACCAGCGATAATATTGTAGCCTTTTCGGTATAAGGCGCAGAGTTCTTCCGGAACAAACGAGTAGCTCGCAGCTCCCCATGCAGGCCTGGCGCTCGCGGTGGGCTCGGGTGACGGGTTTTTGCTGCCAGTCTAAGCAACCTACATTTTGTTCGCCCTGCGTCCGACGCTGCCGCAGGACCAACGGCTGCCGCGATGCATGAGATAGTCAATGAACTGCTTCAGATTTCCGACTAGCTCAGAAGTTGTAACCCCTTTCAAACTGTCGAAACATATTTTGTGAACACCCTATTTACTGATGGTGTTCTACGTGGGTAGTGTGCTGGAGTTTTCAGCATTCGCAAGTGTGTCGTTTGCTTGCAAATGGAGTCACTCATCAACTGACACCTTCACATCATGTATTTCTTTTTGCGGCGTTCGTCGCTCGTTTGTTGCATGAAGTTTGGTGCTGAAGAATACGCGGTGCTGTGTTGCTATAACCCAAGTAGCACAACTTGCTGGTTTGGGAATGGGGCGGTACCGGTCTGCCGGCAAGATCCTACTGGCCCGACGCTGGAAACGCCCCGTGGGGCGACAACGGGCCAGTGAGATTGCCAGTCACTGGCCAGCGACTGGGACTGACTGGGACGCCCGGCACTGGGCGTCCCAGTGAGTTCCCGGGATGCTGCCAGCACAAACCCCCAGCGTAGTACCAGTAATACGGTAAGATACCAGCAAGACCCCAGGCTAGCGGCCTCAAGCCATACAGTTCCCGGTCTTTTTTCCCAGTGAGTTCCCGGGCTGCTGCCAGCACAAATCCCCGGCATAGTACCAGCAGTACCGCAAGATACCAGCAAGACCCCAGGCTAGCGGGCTAAAACCATACAGTTCACGGTCTTGTTTTCCATGCTAACATTTGGTTTTGTGTGCAATTCACACCTGGATAGAAATGATGTAGTTCATAACAAGGGTTATTTTAACACGTAATGTGTGTAAACAATAAATGAAACATACAAAATTGTTACCGTCATTGTTTATTGTCAGTTGCAGTGAAGCTACAGTCGGCTGGTAATCATGCGCTTGTCGCCAGAGGAGTGCGCTGAATGAAAGAGGCTGCATGTCACGGGCCTAGGAAATTTTCTTCACACTTCTCATGCAGCTTGTGATGCAAGTCGACCATGCACCCGAGAAGGCAAGTCCGTCATTACAGCACCTGTAAAGAGAATCGACACCACAGTAGAATGACAGGGTAAATCAATACCAGCTGGACGTGACAATCCAGAAATTCCAAACTGGGGTGAGAGGCATGAGACAAGCAGCCCATGTAAAAGGAAATTTTTTTGTAGCTAATGCACTAATTGTCTTTATTTTATTTTCAATCTGGAAACTATATCAAAACAAGAATCCCTAAGGGACACACCTGTAACAACACACTGGATGACCAAGGGGCGAAAATGGTCCAGTTATCTCATAATCAAGGTCAGCTATTTGTATGCAAAAGGCCCACTTCAGAGAAAGGCTTGTGGAAATCATCTATTTTAATTCAAAAGGGCATGTCGAGAGACGGGCGAGCTTGGCTGAGTACTTGGCATGTTGTTTAACACTGACGTTTGTTACGATAGGTGTGCAGTCCCCGATATCCACATTCAGCATTTTTAGGTAAACATAGCGATTCATTAGCATTACTGAGACAATGACAAATCATATCCTTGACATATACAGCTCACCGTTGTACACATACTAATGAGATTGGGTAGACACAGGTAAACATGTAATGCATTGCAGAGTATGACACCCCGGTCAACCTCCGGACACAGAGCGAGTTGCGCGGCTCGAACACGGATGGCGCCACCATAGAGGTGTACAGCAGCGCTCGCGTGGTCGGAGGCGCTCATTACTAAAAACTAAACAAAACAATAATGAATTAAACCGCATTCAACTTTAGTTATTACTGCATATTAATTTACTAAATACAAATTAAGTATTCCTAAAAATATAATATATTTTTTTAAAAGTTCAATTCAACATCACACTCTCGAAATTTTGCTTTTTTCTGGTTTTTGCGTTTCTAAAACAAAACCGCTGCCTGTGCGCATGCGCGCTTGCGCTCTTCGCGTTCTGAAACCGGTGGACCGTTGTGGAGGCGTCCGTGGGTCTGCTCGGTTGGCTCGGTGACTCGGTGCTTGCTCTTTCGCTCGCCTTCGGAGCGTCAAGCTTCGGCGCCCCGATCATCGCATTGCGCGAGCCTCGCACTTTTGGGCAAGTGGAAAGCTTTTCGTGTCTTTGAACCACCTCATTTGTGCGGTTACGCAAAGTCGTGCCCAAGCAGCGTCAGGGACAAGAAGCACCTGTTCGTTCGGATCCAAACTGACGACGGTGAGTTCGAAAGTTTTCACCCCAATGGAAACTTTTCCTAAGCTGATCTTCCAGCCACAAATGACACCATTTGAGGGTTTTGTACTCTTTTAGGTAATTGAATACATCGTTTCATTTTTGAAATTTACAAAATGTCACCGTGATTTCATTGCGATGTACCCATTTCGGCGAGCGTTCTTAGCACGGTTTTGTGGATGAAGACCGTCCTGCAAATATGTTATGATCTGTAGACTGTTGGCGAAATATCACCTCCTCTACCTCTCGTCGATCTCGCTCACAGCAGTGTCGATCCCCGTCGAGTAAATTGCAGTCTCTATATAAATATTCTTCTCCCAGTTATAATATTTCGGAGATCACATCTTATAATATCTGTTCGTTTTTATTAATGTATCTCGTGTAGATTCTTTTACAGCCCTGCGACTAGTTTTGCCACGTTTTATTTCTTTGAGAAATAAATAGAAAGCTGGATAGTAAAACATAGAAAGGTGGAATGCAGACAGCAGAGCTTGATCGCGAGATGTGCTATCCGTCCTTTCATGTATAATTCTTTCGAAATTGTTTACGCCTCCCAACGCACTCCCCTCAAAACAATTAAAACTCGCGTTAGGCTTTTTTTTTTGTTTGTTGCACATAA